AAAAAAAAATTGAAGTTTGTCTTTTCCCTTTTAAAAACATAACATTTTTGTTTTGTTTCAAATGTCACGACGTCAACGTTTAACTCAGTCCCATGATTCCTTGCGGTGCCGTCGATAACAACAGCCTCGATTTGCAAACAACATCGGAGCAGCGTATCTTAGATCCATTATCAACATATTCTCATTTTTTTCAAGGTTTACACTCGATGTGTTTGTTTTGGATAAGGTTCTGTTGATCAGATTATAAATTCACCGAATATCGTTTTCAAGGTAGGTCCGATGATTCAGATTAGCCTAACTAGCTGCTCGGTAATCCATTGTGAAACACCAAACAAGATGCTAATTATCAGTGCAGGACAATACTGTTGTTTTATTAATACGTACACTTAGACAGCTTTTATTCAGCTGATATAACGTTATATCGATGAAATAATTCTCCATAAACGAACACTGGTGTTAATAGTTAGCCGTGTTGACAAAGGAATGCAGTATCTCTTCATTCAGGACTGAGAGTAACTTAATTGTGTGGTAATTGCGTTCTGGCATTACATTGATATTTTTTCTTAACGTTACCTGTTAGTAAAGAAGCATTTAACGTCTTTAATCCGCAATAAAAATGTGTACTGTGAGATATGCTGTCATTGTTTGCTTAGGCCACCAAACGAATGCATTTAAGGTCTTTTATTAAATTGTCATGAATTGGGAAATGCAGTCCAGCATATTCTTGTCTCTATGTTGCTATTATTTGGTAGATGTCGATTTGAGCAGCTGTTTTCTAACACCTGCTTATGGGGTATTGAACAGATGGCATCTGCTGACGAGTCTTGCAGCTTTCTGCCTCGTTAACCAGACAACAAATGAACGCCACCTAAAAGTTTATACCTTTAACAATAGCTGCATCGTTGTAGCCTTCTCATAAAATAATGTTTCTCCCATTAAAAAAGGGTTATATGTTGTTTCCATGAATGCATTTTAGGCACCGTGCCCCTGGATCTCCACATTCCCACATTTCTGAATCACATCCATGGATCAGGACTATGAGCGCCGGTTACTGCGGCAGATCAACGTCCAGAATGACAACACCAGCCCCATGGTGAGTCTGTCCTCTTGAATATTGCAGACTTGAAATTGTGTTCATTTTTTTTGTGCAATTTAAATGTTTTTAAACCCATCCACTTCAGACTATTCATTTGATCTGATTCCTTATTTTTTGTATACAGAAAGTAAGAGATGTGATCTGTCACCTGACCCCCACCCCTGAGTCGCCGCTGTCATCACCAAGCAAGCATGGTGACAGATTCATACCGTCT